TTTCGTCAGGTTCGAGTCCGGTTCAAGCTCGAACTGAACCAGACTCGAACTGAACCAGACTTTTTTTCGGAACCCTACTGGAGACTCAAAAAAATTCCCATTGATTGTCATATTTATTTGCCCTGTGGCAATTGATTATATCAACTGACTGTATCTGATGCTTCTTGATGAGAGATCGATTATTTGTCCTTGATCACCAAGCGGATTTATATTTGGTGATCGTAAGTCAGTGTTTTTAATGACCATTTTTGCTATCCAATCAGAAACTACTGAGTTCGTCATTTGATTTTTTCATGCGATCTGTGTTATATTAGTTGATTGACAACTGATATATGGTTGTAGTCACATGCCTTCAATCACCCAGCTGGATTTCTTGCTGACTTTATCTCTAGGTTGAATTGCCTGATTCATTAAGAGTCCACCATTATCATGATCTACAATTATTTTATCGATAATATTTGTGTGCTTGTAGTAATATCCATCATAAAGTCATAGCTAGGGTACGAAACGTTATCATTGCTATTAGTTTTCAACAGACGGTACTCATGATATTGTCACTATAAGTTTTGTTAAAGTCAGCTGCATATGTTTCATTGACATGCACACAATCATCATTCCCAGGCATGGTTCCAATCCCACGCACCACATATCCTAATTTTTGATGGCTTATTTAGAGAAAATGTGTCATTATCTGCATGACTAAGTAAATTCAGCTCGACAACATCCATCTCAACAGAAACATTATACAGTGGAGCTCAAAAGTAATACATCACTAGGACGAAAAAATGAATTGTGGAATTTTTAGCAATATAGATGCCACAGATAAATGAAACTTAGCCCATATATAGTTAAAAATATAAATAAATAATATATACAATTTAAAGAATAAATATAACACCACTTTGCATGATGCATTTCTTTTGATCATTTCCCCCCTCAAAACAAATATATAATGGATAAAAAACACACAACAAAACAAAACACGTCTCCTATAAATAAAATATACTTATGAATTCACTCTTTTATCTCGTATAATTAAAATTATTATGACACATATTTCTGTCAAAAAAAGATCACAAATTTATATCCTTCTTAAAGAAGAATATTCTTCGCATTATATTGCAAATCGTGAAAATATTTTCTAATCCTTCGTCATAAGAATAAAGCAAAAAAAAGATACTCATAATACCTTTAAAGATTTACCAAAACCAGGTCGTCCTAGAATTTTTACTGGACGTGATGAATGAAATATTATACGTCTAATTTCAAATGGTAATTTTTCCACTGCAATGTCTATCCAAAAAAAATTAAAAACTGATGATAAAATTGATGTCAGCACAAGCACAATAAAGTGAACTTTACATTATAATAATTTTTCTTCACGAATTAAGCAAAAAAAATCATATCTCAAAAAAACACATCAAATTCAATGTTTAAAATTTGCGAAAAAATATCATCATTGAACTATTAACGATTGGAGCAAAGTCATCTGGTCAGATGACTCAAAATTTATGATTTTTAATTCAGATGGACGTGAATATTACTGGAAACGTGATGATGAACCTTTAAAAGAGCATCACGTAAAACTTACAGTAAAATTTGGGGTGAGAATATAATGGTTTGGGATTACTTTGAATTTTTCAGCATTGGTAATATCGTACGCATTTATGGTCATATAGATAAGAATTTATATCGTAAAATCTTAAATGATGATCTTTTAGAAACAATCCAGTGGTATGAAATTAATAAAAATAATGTTGTCTTTCAACAAGACAATGATCTGAAACACACAGCAAAATCTACATATGAATAGTTTGATGATAATGATATCTGTTTGCTCGATTGGCCTGCCCAATCACCTGATCTTAATCCAATTGAGCATCTCTGGAATGAAATAGATCATTGTTTGAGAATGTTGTCAACTGGTATCCATACTCAAGATCAATTGTGGAATACGATACAAAAAATTTGGATTGAAATTGATAACGCGTTTTTAATGAAGCTAATTGAAAGTATAAAGGAACGCATTCAAGATGTAATTAATGCGAAGGGTGGCTATACTAGATGATAATTAAAATTGGGGATTAAATTTTCATAAATTTATTTAGTTTAGTGAGTAATCTCGATTTTATTTTTATTTATCAAAATGATCAAAAGAAATAGATCGCTTGATTTGGTGTAAAATGTGATTTATTTTTTTTTAAATATACGATATGGAAAATAAATATGATACGATGTTTTGTCCATATATAGGCATTATAATGAGCCTATTTATTTATTGATTGATATTGTATATGAAACATTATTAAATTGTGAAATTTATTGTCCAGGTGATGCAATACTTTTGAGTGTCACTGTATATTACCATACAAGTCTGAATACCAAGTGGTGCAATAGCTGATGCTCCATACAACACTACCGGACATACTTTAACAAGTAAGTAAATGATGTTATGCTTATATGGTCCGATACCCCACAATGTAATTCCTGTTAATGCCAGTTGACCATCTGCTCCATAACTGCTAAGCAGACTATTCTGAGTTAGTTTACTTAAAAGTCCACTCTAAGGCTGTCATTTCATCACTAATGTTCCTTAATATCACTATAGCTTCTATCACACCAATAACAATGAGTAGCAAAGTATTGATAAGCCCAATTAGCGCTGTTAATTGACCAGTACTCAAATTGAACATTATATTTAATGACATTCATTCTATAGTAGTTTGAAAGTTTACAAAGCACCAAAATGTTTAATTTTTGCATTCGTCATGTGTACTGATACTTTGTAAAAAAGAATCTATCTCTTTATATTTTCAAAAAATTTGTTTAAAGAATTAGCAATAAACAATATGGTATATTATTCAAGCAAAATTAATTTTTAAAATCTGAAATGCATGCATACATATATATTTTTAAATTCTAAATAAATACATAAAATGAAAAATTTTATATGTGTAAAAAAATTATTTGCAGAGCAATATTTTCACAATCAATAGGCAAAATCAAACAAAGAACATACCATTTTATTGACCAGTCTTGGAGAATAGAATGGTATACGTACGTAAAATACAGTTGTTCCAATGTGAGGATATATTATCGCTAGGCCATTTCTTTGTTCATTCTTTTTCATAATACATGTACATGTATACATGTACGTATTATGCTCATTATTTTAGCATTTCAGCTTAACTTAACCCTAAAAAGATCACGAAATAGGTAATATTCTCCCAGACCTGGCTTCATAGAAACCATTATAGAATAGTATTTATTTATTTTAAACAAGAATGCTCTCTTTGAAGGAAACGTAATTAAATTTAATGCGTTAGTTTGACTGTAAGGATATTGAATTCATATAGAGGGTGGATAATGTGTATAAATTACGTTATTCATGTTTAATTCTCATTTTTATTCTTCATTTCATGTATGTCATGTTCCCGTATTGATATCATTTTTATCCATATATAAATCATTTTACAAACACACTCAACATACAGTGGCGCTCAAAAGTAATGCATCACTGAAATGAAAAAATAAAAGATCAATTTTTAGTAATATAAACACTATAAACATATGAAATTCAACACATATATAGTTAAAAGCCTAAATAAACTGCTCACATAATTAAATAATAAATGCAACACCACTTTATTTATTTGGTCTTTATTTACGTCAAACCAGTGATGCATTTCTTTTGATCGTTCCCCTCAAAAATAAAGTATATAAGCACATAAAAAAACACAACAAAACAATACACACACCCTATATATAAAATACACCTAAGAATATACTCTTTTATCCCATACCATTCAAATTATC